TAAGCGCAAAAAAGGGATCACAAGTTCAATGACTGAAAAAAGTGTCAAAAAATGGTAACCAAATCATATAACTGGCTGTATATTGACCAAACAAAGGCTTAATTTAAAAAAGCGGCTTCCGTGTGCCCTGCGCCTTGAGATGCTCTTTCAAACAAAGAAAAAATATTAATATATTGAACGAGCCAGGAAGGAGAAATTTGGGATGTGCTTTTGAGAAAGAGGAAACTGAGAAAAAGCGAAAAACATTTTTTGATTTTTCAAAAAACAGCTGGTTTTTCGAATAGGCCTTTGACGGAAATTTTGAACATTTTTTGGGAAAAATGAAGTAACGAGAAACACAAATTATCGTTTATGAAAGAGCAGATGACGAGCTATCTCCCCATGTATTTATCTCAATTTCGGAATTTTTGACGAAAATTGACTTTTTTTTGGGGGGGGGGCTTAATTAAAGTTACGATCAGGAACTTAAATGATAAAAGAAGAATACAATAAAATACTACCTAGTACAAGAATCATTATCATCACTATTTCTGTGAACGTGTTATAGTGAACATTTTGTACAGAAGCAAATAGATTACTATCCTTTTCTAGTCATTGGATTCTGAGAAAGTCTCATAACGCTCATAATTTTTATTTCATCTACATTAACCTTACGACTGAAAAATCATTTATTACCTTTTGTGTAACTATTTGAATTTGTTGTTCAGCATCTTCAATTGCTCGTTCATACGATAATGCGCATTCTTCAATAATATTCAATATTTTCGAGCATGATGTTTCCGTTTTATGCATAATTTACCTTGTATTAATATAATTAGCATTTATACTGCTTAATGTCATTTCCATTATTGTTTCTTTTGATATTCACATATCTACTAATTGATTTAATTTCAAAACATTCTTATCAATTCATTGAATATGTATTGATAATAAATTCAGTTTGTTGCTAACCTCATCACTATTGCACTCATGGTTAGATACTACTGATGGTGAATCACAAAATTCAAACAAATGTTTAGTTATTTCTTGGGGCATGGTAAGTGATAATTATAATAATTTAACAATTTTTAAGAAGTATAATAGTGAATAAAGGTTTAATAGAGAGGCCAAGTGAAAATTCAGAATAAGTTTTTGGAGAAACTTCATTCTTGTCCTATCTTTTCTTGCATATATTTGTTTCTTGTGATTGTTTGTGCTATATTTCTATAGTTTATTAGAAATTGCGTTTACAAATTAAATTGCAAAAGCATAATTCATCTCATTGTACAGACATGTATTCTATGCAAGTCTTTCGAAAAAAATTAAGATAAACAAATATAACACTAATTGATATGAGACTGAGACATTCCTCTTTTACTCTACAGTATTGTTAGAGGTACAAAAAATGACTAAAAGAACAAAATAAAAATATTCGACAAACGTACTCTTGTTTACTACATATTCAATAATGATTCGTTAAAAAAAAGTCGTATAAATAAAACTGTACTAATCCAAACCTTTTATTATGGCAAGCTATAAATGCCTATTACTTGAGACAAGAAAACTCTGCTAAGATAAGTAATCAGTTAAAAAAAATTCGTAATAAAAGTAATCTATCCGGTAGGAAATCTTATTATAGAACATATCCTGGGTTAGTGCTAGAATTGAAAAAAATATCAAACATACACAATGGAGAAGCACAAAATCGCCAGAGAGGCGACATACTTCGTTTTAATGGCTTATCCATATCGATTTGGGTCTGCAACAGATGGCTTGATAAGTGAATAATATGTTCAAAGTGAGCGATTAATTATCTTTGAAGAAATACAATAAAAGAAAATTCAACTTTATATGAAAAAAGCAGTACAAAATCAAAGGTTTCGCAATAGCGACATAGAGAATCGAAGGAATAAAAGAATAGAGGAATGAACGAATAAGAGAATAGAGTAATAAAGGAATGAAGGAATAGACAGATAAGGGAATAGAGGAATAGTCGAGGAATATAGAAATAGTGGAATAGAGGAATGAAGGCATAGCGACCGATCGACTGGAATATATTTTTAGGTGCTCCGTTAGATTAAATGGAGATTATCATTAAAATACATTTCACTTTATCGTAGGTAAAAGAGTACGTGACTTCTTTTTGTATAATAACTTACAAGTGTCTAACAATTAGAAACATAAAGTAAAGTTCAAAACATTGTTTTAGCATTACATAATACGTCAATCAGTTAGAAGAGGATATGACAACATCACTTGAACCAAAGATAACCAAAAATAAAACCGAAGAGATCAGTGAAAATCAAGTATAATACAAAATTTTTCATTTTACATATCCCATGTAAAAAAAATTATGGTTTAAATCAGATTATAAATCCGATATTAATCAAAACCAATCGACAAAATCCTAATTTCATTGATTATTTCGATTAGTTTTGATATTGATTGATTAAAACTTGATGAAAAAAATCGACTATAATTGATACAAACCGATAACAATTAGCTAAAACTTTTTTCATGTATCACGAAGAAAAATCAATTAAAATCGATGTTTTTCATTTAGGTTTAGTACATTATAATCGAAATTAATCTTAATAATCAATGAAATTAGGATTCTTTTCGATTGTTTTTGATTAAAACTGATCAAAAGGGTATGATTATGATCGATTTTAATCTGATTTCAATCGTAATTTTTTTAACATGGAATCTTTTCAATTCGTCAGAGTGGCAACCAGGGCTTCGCATGGGACGGAATGAGACGAAAAACAAATCATCTCATGGGATGGAACATGACAATTTTCCGTCCCATCTCATGAAACATCTCAATCATCAAATACTTTTTGAGAAGTCAAATTTATTCAACGACCACTGATCAACTAAAACTGTGAAATATCATATTATTTCATGTCATTGTTCATAATTTTATTATAATGAAATGCACTGTGTGAGCTTCAGTTCTTTTTTTCTAATATGAAATGAAACATTATTGTCTTTTAAAATACAACATTTTACAAAGTAGAGAAAAAAAGTAACAAATGAAAAATGAAAATATTTCATTAAGGACCCCTCTAAAAAATATTTTTTCCAAGCATCCGATGTTGATAAAATTTTCGGAAAAATGTATTTCGAGCTCGGCATCATACAGTAAAAATTTCAACACGATACATTGAGTGTGCAAAGAGATAGTTTACGATTAATTGTGAAAATAGAAGTGTTCGCACGTCCCAGATAATACAGCCGTTTCAAATGCTAGAAAGTTGGGTTTGATCTTAAAGTACAGCCTAGAGTTGCTGCTACAACTTAACAGACTTCTTTTCTCAAATTTCTTCATAGCTTTGTTTTTTAGACAACTTCTCCGACAAAACTTGGAAAAACCATGGGGTTTTTCTTCAGACTGATTAGTTTTTAGTAAACATTTAGGGACAATCGGAAGATCGAACTCTGTTAAACTGTAGAACTGAGTTTTGCCTACACTTTGATACTAATTGCTGCTTTCTAGCGTTTAAATTGACTGAGAAATCTGAGATGTACAAAAACATCAAAATCAAAAATCCTATTTTGAGAAAAATGCCATATAACTTACACTGCCATAATTTGATACACGTACTTCATCAACTGATATAACTAGAATCTTCTATTTAATTTATCGCATGTTACCGATTATAATGACTCGCATAAATACATATAAAAGTATTGATAGCTGCAAGCCCCAATAGAGAGACTGGGAGGACTTGGAAAATCAAAGTTTTCTGAAAAACCTTGCTTTTCTTCGTGAAGATGCAGAACAAAAACCTATATAATACTCTTAAGTCTCAACATTAAATGAAGAAACTCGAGTGCACTCGAGAGTAAACACTTTGCTCTATCCAGAGATGCGTAAATACGGGTAAAACTTGTAATTACATGTCATTACATGAATTCTAGAACTCCAGGTGTTTTGGGGGTATATACGTATCTTGTTGGATCGTTACATTGACCGATTACATATAATGACATGTAATTACGTGTAATCTTTCTAGCTAACGACCCTACAACATACATACCCCGGAAAAACCATATGTGTCAAACTTGAAGATTGAATTCAATTATTCCACTTTCAAGTACTTAACTATTCAAGTATTGGCCCAGGTGTGGGTACAGCGAAGAGAATTCCCGTCACGAAAAAAGGGATTCACAAGTACGGATACAACTTGTAATTTCATTTAATTACATGCCATTGCATGAATTCTAGAATTCTAGGTTTTCTGGGGGCATATATGGGATATGGGGCGGTTATATCGACCCATTACATGTAATGTTCCTGTGTAACGACCCAACAACATATATACCCCCAAAAATCCTAGAATTCTAGAATTCATGTATTGACATGTAATTACAAGTTGTAATCGTATTTGTGACTTCTCTTTTTTTGTGGCGTGCAAAAGTTCGGAATGGGGAACTATACCACGATACGGGTTGTATATAATAGCGCTATGCGCAACTAACCATTTCATTAAAAAGGATAAGAATGACCTCGATATCTCTACAATTTGAGTTTTTTAAGCCGTAGATTTATTTTATTTACGTTTTCGGAGATATCAGTCTACGCCAATTCCACATGTCATCATATGAAGAATATCCACTAGTAACATTGATATCTTCAATTCTATGAACATCAGTGATTGTTTGTCGACTCTCTTTTGCATTAAGCTGAATAACTAGTGATTCAAGAATCTGATGGAGAAAAAGGGAATGATCGCTCAAAGTCCGACATTTACACTTAAATACTCAAGAAACACAGCTGGAATTTGAAGTTGTCGCTTGTTAAACATTAAGTCTTCTCGTCACTATCAGATACGAGGAGTCGTGATCTAATGCAGTCTTTCATTCAATACGTACTATGTGAACAACTCCAATTGTTGTTCCATATGATCACATTGATACTGTAGATGTATTTGTTCAATATGACATCGTAACTTTTCTTCATCGGATGACGAGCTCGATTAATCTTCAGCCACTCTGTGTAGCTGTTGCTGATTTAAATAGCGACACCCTATTGGATATAGTCGTTACTACTGCTACTAAGAATAATGTAGGTATATCTGTCGGATATGGCAGCGGCTCTTTTGCAAGCCAAAAGACATATTCAACTGGTCTTGTGTCAATTTCTATACTTGTTGGTAATTTTAATAATGACACTCGCCTGAATATCATCGTTACTAATTTTAATGACAGCACTGTAAGTTTGCTTGTTGAATATAGCAATAGTTCTTTTGCGAATCAAACGACATATTCAGCTGGCTTTGGGCTCACTTCTATAACTGTTGGTGATTTTAATAACGATATCGGACTCGATATTGTTGTCGCTCTTTTTTATGACACAGTTGTAAATGTACACCTAGGATGTATCAATCAAGTTTATGTAAAAAAATAACGCTCTTAACTGGCAATGGATCTCGACCAAGATCGTTTGCTGTTGGAGATTTCAACAACGATACCGTCCTTGATATCGTCGTTTCTAATCAGGGCAACGATAATGTTAGTGTATTTATTGGATGCAGTGATGGCTCCTTTTTAAGTCAGAAAACGTTGGCAACCGACTATGAATCTAAATCTAACGCGGCTGCTGTTGGAGATTTCAATAGCAACACCTTACTAGACATTATAGTCGCCAGTTTTGGAACCAATGATACATGCGTGTTTATTGGATATGGCAACGGTTCGTTCGCAGATATAAAGGCTTTTCCGATCGGTTACGGCTCTCTTCCGTTCTCAGTTTCCGTTGATGATTTTAACAATGACGGAAAGCTAGTTTTCGTGGTGACCTGCAAAGATACTGACAATTTAAATTTTTTTTCAGACTTATTAATGTTGTAAGTTCAATCTTGAGTTTTTTATTCTTTCATACAATGTTTCTAACTTTTAAGTGCCCAGAGCTACTAATATTTCTAATGATCTTTTTACTAATCTCTTCATTTTTATGCCCATAGAAACTGCGGTTGAGAGTGGATGTTTTAACTGAAGTATGGCACTCGCCGACTCTGCTCAGGAATGTCATCACATAGCTTTGACTTCGTATCTGTTGTGGATGTTTCAGAAAATAGAATATTCAAATAGTTAGCGAAACACTAATAAAATGCTTTTGAGTGCTATGAAGTTTCAAGTAGCCGTAATTGTATAGTGATGGCAATTAAAAGCTAGCAAATTACTTTGCGCTTACGCATATTGAATCTTAACAATTGCTGGTGGTTTCAAGGACAACGAAGTAAGATCTCTTCTACTATGTAATGATTATTAAAAGTTCGAGTAAACTTCTGATGAGATGAGAAAATCTCGTTCAACCGATATATGATTGTATATCAATCAAAAACAGACCGATCTCTATGTTGAAGAAAATACAAGTTCAATCTATTACTCTCAACTTTCACTCTTCAACAATCAATTAAGTCAAAAATGAAATAATAATAGAATGAAAAAAAATAGTGTGGTTTGATTAAAAGAAATAGAGAAATGCCGAGTTTAACTCGTCGATGCGTTCCGCGTTATTCATTAAAATATAAACACTCGTTAGGGCTCTACATAGCATTCTTTATGCACAAAGAAGAGAAATAACACTTAAAACAGCACAACTTAAAAACAAAATTTGAGCACTAATAATTCAACAAAAAAAATTACTTGAACTTGGAAATTACTAGAAAACCATTCATAATCAGGAAAGAAGGGACCATTCGAGTTTATTATATATTGGATGATAGAATAAAATGGTTGACAACTAAATAATCAATTCGTGATGTAGAGTTGGCTGTGAAAATGTCGAAAGGAAAAATATTTAAAAGGGAAAGTGTCGCAAAAAAGAATATCAATGTGAAAAAAGGTCGAAATGTTTTAGAAAATTCTGCCTAGCAAAGGACATGCTTGATTGTACAAGTTAATGTTGACAGTCTAACAGAGACTAAGCATAACTCTAGAGATAAAGAAAAAAAACTTTATAAAGTATAATTTTTTTTAGCAACTGTAAATGATAAACTATCTAAGTATTTGATAGTATTTATAATAAGTGTCATAATGCCGTTCGCCACCATTGTCAGTACGACATTGAATTGGAATTATTTGGCTGGTTTCGATCTTACTTCTAAACTTGCATTAAATTGAATACACATAAATGCTAATCATCCAAATTTTTATGAATTCTTGCTGAATATTCATTAAGTGTACATTTTCAATGTATTGATAGTTGTCGTTGTTTTATTCAATTTGAAAACATATTCATCAGCTATGAGCAAAGGTTTTTCTCTTTTATGAACGTGTAAATGAAGTAGCCAGCAATTTGGGTTCAGTTAAATCTGATGAAGATAGAACAGCTGCAGTCATAGCAATAGAATTTCAGCTATATAGCAGTTCTTCGTGCGACTCTTAGTTAATCTATATCAAGGTGTTATTCATCACCATTACTACTAGTTAAAAATATATGCTAGTAGAATTATAGGAAAAGTAACAATGAACTATAAGTGCTTAGAATCATTATTTACTGGAAAAATCACTTTTTTGACATTTTCCCAGCAGACTGTAATATAGCGTCATCAAAACTTGAATCAAGTACTGCATTATCAAAGGCGGCATGGAATAGAAACCCTTTAATTCTTATAGAAATGTTTTAAATATTGTATTCAAACCAATATATCGGCTGATATCGGTATTAAATCAAATTTTACATTTTAAGAAAGTCTTTATAGAATAATTTCGAATATTATTAATATAATAAATTGATCTACAGCTGATTTTCATGTATAATTTAATTGTTATAGCATATCCGTTTCCGACAAAGTTGTATTCATTGAAACGATGCAATAGCATGATGAAGAGTTTGGGTGTTCGTGACACAAAACCATACCAACACTCAAATAAACCAGAAATATCAACATTCTATCATAATATTAAAATAACTTTTACACATATAAACATAAAAAGAAATAATATATGAACTAAAACAACTAAATATATATCTCATTAGGTAAATAAAATATACAGTGAAGCTCAATAGAATTTACCCCCTTTGTATTTTTTACTTTTAACCATTAAAGTTTGATCTTTTTTTAATAATGACTATATCGCAAGAAAGTACAGATTCTGCTGCATCACATGATATATATATCGTAATTAAAAAAGAGAAATTAAATAGTGAAAAAAGCGTTACAAAAAAGACACCATTTTTTTTTTACTACAAGACATACTTTGTCTGAATTAAAATAAAGAGTAGCATTCATTTACGTGAAAGGTTGGTCGTAAAATACATCGGTTCCATAGGTAATAGCACACTTTCTATAGGCATTCATAATTTGGTCTCTCGACAATGAATAAAAAGTTCGAGAAAGTATCGATGGAAGATTGGTTATTGTCAATGGATGCTGTTTTCGGACAGTTTCTCTAAATGAATGCCAAATTGGATTATCCAATGGAGATATGTATTTTGCGGATGCCGTTGGCATATAATGGACATTTATAATTGATTTACATTTACCGATAATAAATGCTTGCATCATCTCTGCCCGATTATGTGCTCGACTTCTATCACATATCAAATGCACACAATCAATATTCAATCGATTAATGGCTGGTGCCAAAGATTTAATAATCCATTCATGTATTACTTCTTTTCTTACACCTTGAATATCTTTAGCTTTACGATCCACAGGTGTTAAAGTCATACAAGCTATTGGTTTTGATCCATTAATTGCACCAATAAAATCAAAACGTTCAGCATAAGCTGATGGTTTATCAACAATAACAAATGATTGATGTCCAGGAGCAACAAGTGTTCGAAGAGGTGGCATTATACCATAAATGGCTATTTCATCGATAAATATTAATCGATCATTGCTAATCCGCTGTAAAAATTTTCGAAATTTTCCAATTTCAATCCAATGGTTTTCATCAACTATAAATATAGGAGAATGATTAGATGGATTCGTAAACGGTGAGATAAAACAATGATATGTGCTGTATAGAAACCTGTATACTTACTATCACGAGTTGTTATTTCATGAGTTGTTCTGCTTGTTATTCCACATTCTATTCTGCCGTATCTTTTGATCGTTGCTAGGGCTACTTTTCGATTCAGTGAAACTTCAACATGATTTTGTACCATTTTGTAATCAACCGGTTTATGCTGATTATTCATCGTTTCGACAAAATTCAATACATAACGTTCTACTTCTTCATTTGTTAGCGTACGTGGTCGACCAGTTCTTGGCTTTGCATTCAAGGATTGAACAGTACCATCCCATTGTCGATACCAGCACATAATCAGATGATGACCACCGTTAATTTTAAAACGTTTGGCTAATGATTTAAAACCGGACCCGTAAATTCCAGGACGATATTCTTCAAGAACTTTTTGTTTGAAAGTACTGGTATATTTTTCATATTCATTGGCCATTTTACAAACAAACAGTGGAAATTAAAGCAGATGTGTTAAACAGAGAAAATAAAAGTTTGTTTACTGGTTAGACATAACGGTCCCATATTTATACACGAGACTGGTTCAATACAGATTTAAATAAAGAAATAGATGATAGAAAAAACGATACGTTGGAAATAGAGAACGGATTGAATGTTGTTTTGAACCTTGATCCAGGCCGTAACAAAATATACGCCAAGTTTCCAATGAATCTTTTAAAAGTTCTCGTTAATCGAGCCATTGCAGTGTTCCGTTCGTTGATTTCGCGAGTTTATAAAATTGAATTTCCTCTGATTCGAGCAATAATGGACCTCACGTGTGTCAATATATGGAAGGGAAAACAAGACAATATGAAAAATGAAACTCATTTTAGAAAATATATTGTATAAGTAAAGATTGCAGTAAAAAAAAATGGTGTCTTTTTTTGTAACGCTTTTTTCACTATTTAATTTCTCTTTTTTAATTACGATATATATATCATGTGATGCAGCAGAATCTGTACTTTCTTGCGATATAGTCATTATTAAAAAAAGATCAAACTTTAATGGTTAAAAGTAAAAAATACAAAGGGGGTAAATTCTATTGAGCTTCACTGTATTTAAGAGCATGGGTCATTGTTTTGAGTATTAATTAACTTTTGCGCCATTGTTATATAATTACTTATTCTTTTCATAAGTAGTATGAGGATGGTATATCTTGATGGCCGACTATTCTATTGATATTTATCATGCCAACTAAAATCTACAAAATTCAAATTCTTTTATCCAATTGTACGTCGCAACGAGAATTTATCCAATGCTCATAATATTAAAAATAAGCTGGAAAATATTCTTTATAATTCATTCAAATAAATGTTTGATATACTGAAAAATTTGCAACCTATAAATGATACCGATCCAGCTAGTCTACATTTATCATTATTTACACGTATTGGACTCTTTTATGCTTCTGCAACTGCTAATATTACAAATCACATAAGAAGTTTAAATATTTGCCTTCTATTAGTTGAACCATCTGATATGTTTATAAAATGAAAAATATGTTTATATATGATATTTGTACGTTGCGGAATATCAAAAATCATCTTACCAATAAAAACATCAGTTATTAATACAATTAAATCCTTAGGTATTTCAAAAGACGAAGCATCAATTCTTGATAAATTTACAAACGCGTCATTACCAGCTAAATTAAATATGTTTATTATTACTGATGAAACAGAAGAACCATGATTGTCAATAGGATTTTATTTTCCATTATCTGAAGCAAGTACAGTTGATAGAATATCAGGATGAAAATTCGTTGGTACTCATACAGCAAGCAAAGATACCATGACATATCATTTAGAAATTGCCTAATCATGTATCATTTGTTGGTGCAACAATTGGACGTCTATGGCATCATTTAATTAATTATTATGTTCAAGTATATTAAAGTCATGGCTTTTCTGAACCGTAAATGTTCAAGTTTAATAATCTAATGCTCATTTAAAAAAAAAGGACTGTTGGCTATTTTTCAATTACTCGGAAATGCTTCGTGCTATTGAGTTCGGACTTTTGGTAATCGAAAGAGGCTTTCTAACTGTATCGATCTATATAAATTTGTTTAAGTTCGGTTCATAAACATGTATTCGTCCATAGTCATGTTTAAAGAGAAGACTCTAACTCTATGAAAATATAACGAATTTTAGATTTTCTGGAAAGCACTAAAACCGTCGGTTCACAATCTACAAATCTATGAAAGGTCAAAATTTTTATCATGATTCGTTCCAAAGTTATTAGTATAATACTGAGAGCATCTAACAGAGT